CAATCGCGCGACGAAGGATCTACACCGGCCGACTGAGAACTCGACGAAGGAGCTTCGATGCCAACTTATTTTTGTAGTTTGTCAATGCAACGTCGCGTCGATTTCGGGATTGATTGGCAGATCTGTTGGTTGTGGTCACAAGAAGAGGTGGTAGCTCTACGCACGACGCTGTCGAACATTGTCTTTACATGCCAATAAAAAATTTTATTTGTGACATCGAAATAATTTGTAACCAATTAATTTGACAATATGTGACCAATAAAAAGTAGTGACTTATAATTGTGTATACATAACTATTAATTGTATAATTGTGACCTTATTAAATTTAATTAAAAAATATTTTTAATTAATTAGTTAATACTTGAGTTTTGTATTTTGAAACTTGCAACTTGAAAATTGAATTTCTGACACTTAACATTTGACTTTTGAATTTTTTCCATAAATAAATAATAATTATGAACGTGTAATTGAAATTATTAAATTTATTGAAACATAGGCATAAAAATGAAAATTATTTGGCTCACAACAATGCATGACCATTTACCAATTTACATCTGCAATCTGATCTTACAGATGTTGTATTTTGTAGGGCATAGAGTAGAGGGAAGGTGCATGATGGATTGTACAAAATTTCCATATGTCTTTTTCAATAATAGCGTCAAATTTGTAACATTCGTTTGTCTATTTGCCGTTCTTTCAATGAACCAGAAAGTTAAAAGTGCGAAAGGAATCAAATATTGACATTGAAATCAAAGTTGTTGATTTTGAGTTGCTTGTAATACTAAAAGTGTTGGAATGTGAAATTTTTTTATTTATTTTTGTTAAAAGTAATTTTTGAGTTTCAGGGATTTCCTCTTTTCTTTTGTTGCAATTGATTCAAGCCTAGCTCAGAAGGATGACTCCGTAAAGGACTAAAAGGATTAAACCCCGTTTGGCCTCCATTAATTTTCATTACATTACATTTCATTTTTCTCTCTTATTTTCAATCACACAACCTTCCATAAAATAATATTATACTCAAATAAAAAAATTTCATTTTTTTTCAATCACTCATTTAAAAAAAAAAAAAAATACTATTCCACCTATTTTCAATTCTACAAAATGGGGGCCAAACGGGGCTAAAGCATGGCATGGGAAGCGAAATACCTGACAAGTAATATGTTTTTGGAAAATTTTATTTGTACATAATTATTGCACATAATGGTGTCCATAATATAATGTGGCAATCATTTGATTATTGATGTGCAAGTTTGAAATTTGAATTAAAGGTTGGATCCAGTGCCACGTATAATTATGAACACTATTATATAGATCATTATATACATGTAGCACTTTCCTATGTTTTTTCATATAATTAGATAAAATAACACAAGTCATAGAGTGAAATATTGGTGGTATGGGCCCCCCGGGCACAGCTCAACTGGTGGATCAATCAACATTGTCTTGCTTCCAACGGCAAGGTGGAGAGTTCGATTCCTGATGGGAACCTGCGATCAAATATTTGGTATGGAGCAATCACTGTGGAGGAGGGTCTCTTGTGCGCAGAAGTGTACAGGCAATGGGGGGAACCTGTGATCCAGTTGAGGCATAACCTGTGATTTACCCCCTCCAAGGTTCTAGGTGCAAGGGTATTGAGGGTCCAGGATTTAGTCTAGTGTAAGTTGGGATACCTGGATATAAAAAAAAAAAAAAAATATTGGTGGTATGGGCGACCTAATTATAAAGAGATATGGCAGCTGCAGTTATGACGGTTGTAACCTCTTCCTACTTTATTATGACTGTTAATAGTATTTTCCCATTTTAAATACTCAATATTTAGTTGACAAGTGGAGTCTACCAAGTTGGTTAAGTGGTGGGACCCACTGGACCAACCAACCAACATACTAAATTAAATATAAAAATGAGTGTTGACTTGAGTTCGGCAATACCCAAAGGTCAATTTTTCTTTTTTCTACATATATGTTAACTGCACATTTAGTCCCAGTTAAATTAAATTTCATTTTTTCTTCTTCTACTTTTAATCCTTAGTCATCATAGACTTGTGGTTTTTATAGTCTGAATATGGGTTGAAAAGTGGTGGTCTAACTAAGCATCGCTGATGTAGATCTATCACATCAATTATTTCATACAGTATTTTGTGCAACTTGGTCGAGACGAGGGTTGTAGCAGATGTCATTGCCTCGGATATATACTGTAGCAAATAGGTGATGCATCCCTTGAATAACAATAGTATTTTGAGAAAGACATCTAACGACATGACCTAATGGCTTAAAAAAATACATGTAGAAATAACGATGTGGAGTAGAGTCTGGACCTTACGTAATCTTTTATGTAGTTGGTTATTACATAACCTGTCTCGTAGGGAAAGACATAACAATAAATAATCGCACACGCACCATATATTCGAATAAATTGATATCTCCACACTTCCAATTACACATTTGTGTCTTTATTTATTTTAAAATAATCGAATTAATGTGATTTCTAGATGAGATTGATGATGGTGAAGGTGTGAGAAACATCACATATAAAGTTAATTTCATATTTGGCCACTAGATTTCAACTCAAAGTTCAATGGGTTACCCAACTTTAATTTGTCTTAATCAATGAATAGCTAAAATTAAATTTACTTTTAATATTAATCACTTTGTTAGTTACCTTCCCTAAACTCGACGTCACAATCGTATGCAACTTTAAAATTTTAAGCAAGCAATCTCATGTTTTCTAGTAAATATGACACCTACTCATGTATTGGAGGTAGAATTTGAAAACATTTTAAGGCACCGTTTGATAGGCACCAATTTTCTAAGGACTGGAATTAGAATGCCAATTTTCAACTTTTGTGTGTTTGATAGTGTTAGATTTTCCATGGAAATTAAGTTCTTGAATTTCTTGGGAGTTGCAGTTTTCTAGCTTTTGGTGAGAATTGATTTTCCAGGTAGTTAACGTTTCTTTCTTTCTTTCTTTTTTTTTTTTTTTTTTTTTTTTTTTTTTTTTTTTTTTTTTTTTTTTTTTGTGTGTATGAAAACAAATTCTAAGAATTATTGTAAAAAAATATTTCCCTTTAATTGACAATTTTTCATGTAAAACAAAGTCAAACGAACATCAAAATATATATTATTTTTTATTTTTGGCAATGGAAACAAATTCATCTCCAATACCAGTAAATTTCATCCCTTAAATTAACAATTTTTATTTAAAACAAAGCCAAACAGAGACAAAATTACACTTTTATTTCAATATTAATATTTTCCATGTGGAAAATTATATCAATCAAACCCAATAATTTACAATTTCCAGGAAAACAATTTCTGAGCAATTCAATTCTCTGGAATTCGTTTTCTTTTCATCCAAATTTCATCTTTACAATTACTTGAAAACGAAAGAGAGGGTAGAATCAGAACACTATACTGATAGGGACTAATGAAATGACCAACATTATAAGTAAATTAAATTTCAATGATCTGATTATATGAATTAAGTTGTGTGACCTAATTAAACTTCATTAAAAGTTCAGTGACGAAAAATGAAATGAACCCTCGTAAGTTGCATTCGTCACAACCAATACTAATAGTGTTAAATAATACTGGTTTAGATGACAGTAAACTTTTGTTTAACAACCATTCTTGCAAAATTATTTTTTTATTATATTCATTTTCAATCATAGATTCTCACAATAAAATATACATCACGTAAATCTAATTTTTTTTCATAAATTTATACCAATCATTATCAAAAAAATTTAATTCAAAAACTCATATGGTGTTTGGTAGGGATTAAAATTAGATATTTTAGTAGATTGTGATGAGGTATTTTAAATACGTGGTTAAATAGTTGTGAGACCCACGAAGGACGTGGTTAATATTAATTGTTTGATTTTGATTTTGATTAAAATTAGATTTTAATTCGTACCAAACGGACTCATTCTTCCCAAAAAATGATTATCAAACAGGAGTTAAGTTTTATTGAATCAAACGAGTCATTTCATTGAACCCATTAATTATAGGGGCATTTGTAAAAATGTCCAATTTTACATTAAAAAATGACGACTTTTGATAATCTTTGTAAAAATGGCCAAATTTGATACTAAATTTTCTATTTTACCCTTAATGAAAGAATAAATAATTTCATATTGCACACATCAAATAACAATTAATGCTATACACAGAAATGTCTAGAACAACATTTAAATCGTAGAGAAATGTCATGTTCGGAAATCAAATGTCATTCTAGACATTTAATATGTCGAGAACAACGTTTGAAATGTAGAAAATATTTAATATTTTGATTTGACATGTGTTCTTTTGAAATATAAACAGATTCAAATATTAAAAACGATATTTGAAATGTCGAGAACGTCATTTTAATGTAACTTCTCATAAAAGCCACTTAAAGGTACTCTAGTCCAAATAATTGGTAAAATGGACATTGACATTTTTTGGATATTTTTACAAATGATTATGTCAAAATAGATATTTTTTGTAATTGCCTCTTAATTATATAGGGTTACCTAAACAACTGGTTAATTGTTTCAAGAATATCATCATATACGTATCCCATTATTTTGTTTTGTTGTTTGAAACTTGAAAATCATCATCGGCCCAAGCACTAGCCACGATAGGAATTTTGAAACGTACATTAAAACAAAAAACCAGTGGTAACCGTAGCTATCAGCTCACAAGTCACAAGAAATATCCTTTCCTTGGCTTCCAGTCACACCATCAATCAAAATAACTGCTGATTCATCCCTCTTTCTTTCTAGGATTTTTGTATTTGTACTACCGATCCTTCACAAGAGGGGGACCCACAATTTATTTGCTGCAGATCCACCACTTGTGAGAGGTCGACAAACCCGATGTACATGTAAAAAAACCCTTCTTTCTATTTGGAAATACACCCATTTAGTGCTTATCGTTCCACCCCTCCATATTTTCTCTCTTTCCCAATTCTGCGTTTATCGTTTACTCTAAATTGTTTGTATGTAAAAGGAAAATACCAAATAATCAACCATTCACTTTCATAATGTCCAAACTGGTCCTCAAAGTATCATATTCAGAAGTGCAAACCCTAGTAATTTTATTTATGAAAACCACACTAGTATGTATATATTTACATATTCGTTTCTAACTTTATTTATTTATGTATTTCCCATACCATACCTCTGTTATACACATAAGTATTAATTAATATACAGAACGCTAGCTTTGACCTCTTGAGATTGAAAGAAATTCCGGCACCGGCTTCCATTGACAAAGCTCAGCACCCATTATTAGTATTCTATAATAATTCCTCCGGTTGGAGCTCTGTGAGGAATTCCCTTCCTCCTTTTTCCACTTGACCAACTCTGAGGGGGCGTTGATGGACTAAAACTCTGTATTTTGTTCTTCATCTGTTTATTGTGCCTTTTTGTACCACCACCGTCTATGGATTCCTCCCACTCCCACATTTTCTTCTTCTTTTCAAACTTATTCGATGTCCCCGCAACCTGATCATTTCATCAAACACATCATAGATTCATAGGGGCCGGGAGATGAATCGTTTTTCACAAAAAAGAAAACAGGTGAATAAACAAATAAATGATACCTTGCAGCCAAGGGAGCAGAAAGAAAAGGAATCGAGGAGGCCGCGTTCACAGACTCGGCAAGTATTGGTGACGCCTTTACCAGGCCGTGGCTGAGGGCGTTCGTTCAGAAAAACGATTTTGGCACTGTTGATAATGTAGGTCTGAACCCCTGTTATGTCCAAATACTTTTGAATCTCAGAAACCCTTATCACATCATGGTACGATGACCTCCTAATCTGCCATCACAGCAACAAATTAATTCGCCAATACTAAAACTAGAAAGGGTTTTGTTGATTTATTGATTGATTGGGTACCTGAATAGCTCGATGGTCTTCGTGGAAATTGAGGCAGAGGGAACAGAGTGCTCCGTTCTTACAGTCCAAACAAAACATATTACATTCGCTCCTGTGAGCACTGGCATGAACCTTGCATTGACGAAAGAAACTCGTCTGCAGAAGTGGACGGAGCCACCCCGGCCACTTGCTATAATCATCTTCATATTCACCTCCAAATTCACCCTATTCCAAACATTTCAGTTTTCAGATCAATAAAACACAAGAGTCATCATAATCAATCAAATTATATACACATATACTGAACAAACCATGATTTTTTGGAACTGATGGGCTTCGACTTTTGGGAAATTAAACAGGCACGGAAAATAGAGAAGAGAAGAAGATTGAGAGGAAATAAGAGGAAGTTTCTTTAGTATAGTATAGTATAGTATAGTATTGCAGTGGGTCAGTGGAGGAATGGTTTGTGCTTATCTAACTGACTCGGAAACTCCACAATCGAACCCAAACCAATAATTTATGGAACTGACGTATTTACTTCTGGGAAATTTTAATTCACGGTCACTCAACTTTAAGCAAATCTTCATCGAGTCCCTCAACTTTAATTTAATTTCAAAATTTCCACCTATCATCCTCGAAGTTAATGAGAATTTACTTAGTTGACAGTCATACAATAAATAATAGTAATTGAATCTATGAATATTAAGGTGACAAAACTTTTTTATTCAATTTTCCCTCCACGTCATATATGTAATTATTTATTTTCCTTTTTTATGTACAAATAGCAAAATTCGACAATAATTGATTTGACATATCAAACAAGATATGCACAATTACTTTTAAGATGACAAATAAATATTGTCAGCTAAACTTTCTAATGAATAACAGAAAAAGAAAAATTGAGAATTATAGCAATTTCTTTTAAGTTAAAATATTTAAAATTGTATTTTTTTATTTTAATACTTTAATGATAATTGTAAATTAGCATAGTAATGCTATGTGTAGCACCAATTTAGATGACAATGAACTCCACAACTTCATTATGGTCTTATTTGAGCCCCATTTTTACCTCATTAAAATGAAAAATATGATCGTTATTCATCACATCAAGCCACCATTTTTGAATTTCTATCTCTTGTACGAGGCTCGTAACGGCTCTATTTTTCATTCTCATTCTACAAATAATGTGGCTCAAACCGGCTCTATATAATAAACTGTAATGCATTTTTATAACTTAGACAAGTAGTTATACATAATATTATTTGAATTAGCACGTAACAAAGCTTATGAGCTTGTTTGGTTTAGATTTTAAGTCAACTAAAATCAAATTTTTTTACCGTTATTTCACTATTTCAGTCTTCATTTTTGAATTCTTCTCTCACAGGTAGGACTCACTTTATCTCTAAATATAAAAAAATTAATTATCAAAGTCCATACCAAACAAGCATTATATTTGGCTCATATTTATAACATTCAAACAATTTTTTATCGACACATTTCGTTGACTCCCACGGTGATACTCATTTATACATCACTAATTTTTATTTAATATTAAACACTTCCCAAACATTCATTTAGTGATCATAATTCATTAAGATATGATTATCAATTACTCAATTTTCATTAATTGAGGACTACATATGAAATTTACTTGTATAATAATATAAGTTCCTTGTTGAATTTGGCCACTCGGGGGTTGGGTTGTGGCACTAAAATAACACATCTGGGAATATAAAATTAGATGATATGAGCGGTTCTCATCGCATTACACGAGCTTTGCCTCGTCATTGTCTAGTGGCCTTTGTTTTCGTTCGTTTTTCTAATTCGTTAACATTTTCGAGTTCCTTGTTTATCCTTAAAAGGTAAAGAACTATTTCCTACAAATATCTAAAGCATTGTTTGAGCCCCCCATTAAATTAAAAATAAAAATAAAAATATACATTTTAAAATAATAGATTGATGAACAATATATTATTAATAAATAGAATATTGATATTTCGCCTCACTGAGGTTATACTCCTAGTTTAGATGGCGTTAATATGATATTAAATGATAGATGGAATTAAATAAGTCATTTGATTTTACCTTTCATACAACTTATCATCTAGTATAACTTAAACTAGAGTTATAACCCCAGTGGGGCTACATAGCATTATCCTTAAAAAAAAATTGAATTGAATATACATGTAATATTATTTTATTAAAGAATTTGCCGTTGAAAAGTCAATCTGCGACTTAGATTTATATTGTAAATATTTTATGGTTCAATTAATAATCATTGAAAAGACAATTAGAGTAAAAACGTTCGCAAGGTGTTCCTCAACTCTTAAAAAGTAGCAAGAGTCATCAATGTTTTATATTACTAAAGCAGACCGTAGTGACAGCAATGCTCGAAATCTTCGATACTGGATGCAAAATAGGTGTTAAAGATCACCACATGAATTTGCTATACTAACGAATATGGAACTAAAAATATCGAAAAGCTTGACAGCATTCCAAGTAACTCCGTCACTTTTATAAAATTTTCTAGTTTTTCGTTGTGAAAAGAAAATCGGTGTGACATTTAGTCCTTTCAAGAGATGATTGTAGAATTCAATTTTTTAACTTGTTGCAAGATAATGAATTATTGTTCTTGTTAGATACTTGAGCATCTACAATAATCTCTTTATTTTAAAGAGCATTTTATGAATAATAGAGAGTATCTTTAAATTTAAAAAGTAAATTTTTTATACACTTCAACAATGCTTTGCATTTTGCTTTTCTCAAAAAATATTTATTATTTATCCTCATATTTTATTTAACATATTTTTATATGTCGAAGACTTGGGAATAACTATAAAAATCTTTCGAACTCAGCCATTTCAAGTTTCAATAATAAGCGGGTCGCCTTTTGCAACCACCCGTGGAATAATTGTATATAAAGCCGACAAATATATGTGCAGAAACTAAATTCCCTTACAACATTTACTAGGAATAACTATGAAACTTCTCTGTTGATGGAAGTGGTAAGTCATTGGCTAGCAAGAAGCTATCTGTCATACTTTGGCAGTTTGACCTTTTCACAAAGGCCACTTAATAAGAGTAGGAATCTATCGACCGCATCCAGATTTACCTGGGTGGCGAACCAAGGGGAAAGACCGTCATTCTTCAGGATTAGTCAGACGAAACTTGGACTCCCGAGTTATCAAAAAAAAAAAAAAAAAAAAATTAAAGAAGTAGGAATCTATCTTTCTATTGATGATCTTACTAGAAGCATTTGACAAACTATTAGGTTGGAATTGCTGTAATACAGTCTTCCCTCAATATAAGTGTTGCAATTTCTGGTTTAACTATATTATCAATTATAAACGACTTACTGCCTTTGGCTGCAATTATGTTCATTTATCTGTTTAAATATCTGTCATAATATTTTTGCCATCGTCTAATCTGATTACATACGTTAGCCTTCCTCAGCAGTAGTGATGCATATATATCATCCAGCAGACACTGAATCCTTCTGCCACACTGTCCTAGTGAAATAGAACCCTTCACTCTTGTATCATATACAAGTCAAATAATCAAAATTGTATTTTTGAAGATTCCCTATATTTTTCCTTCAGGTGAAGAGGCGAAGCTCAGAAGAATGCTCTATTCAGTGGACTACAGGAATAGCTGAAATTCAGCTTCCAGTTGAGTACGTTTGGCTCTATTTATTTGTTGGCTAGCCATTGCTTCCTGCGACCATTTTCACTAGTTAATTTCATCCGTTATTTCTCATAGTGAATTGCTCACCTCGTCTTCGTTACTTTTTAACTTAAACTACAACCATATAATGGCAGAGCATCCTGAGCTTTACGAGGGTAAAGGTGAAGACAATATTGGTCCAATTTCTAGACATTCAGATTCAGTTACTGATGTAGCAGCTCGAAGGCCAGCTGCAACAGACCAGTTAATGCTTGAGCGATTTCAGAAGCAACAACACCATCGTCTGATGTACCACACCAAAGCATTCAGATGGCCTGAGAAATATCACTATAATGCACCAAAGCAGCATTCATAGCCATTACAATCACTTTTTATCAAGGCAAAACGTGAAGAAAAAAGTAGAACCGCAATTCCATCAAGTATATGGTAAATTTTCTGTGAAGCTTAAACGCTATCTGTTTTAGAAGGGCGTTTCAAATCATTTAACCCCAAGGTTATCAATTATAGCACTATTTAAGGTACGGCCTACGGGGTGGTGATACATAAATAAAACCAGTCTTCAATAACTCCGGCCCCAGTAGGTCCACTTTCTGGCAGGTTTTCCTGAGGCAAAGCACAACTTACCTGCGTGTAAAAGAATATTTAGTGGAACAATGCACAATGAAATTTGAAATCAAGTAAATTACATCTAGTAATTAATAAACGAACAACACAGACACCAGTCCTTAATTGTGTAGAAACAAATTAATTTTTTTCTCTAATGATAAGCACTGGTGTTCAGCAGCAGGAGGAATTGTTCATGTACCCTCAAGCTACATCAGGAGATACGGGGGATTTTTATCAACAAAATTCTCGAAAACTGAACTTATATTATACCTTCTGGGAGTTCTGGCTGGTCAAATGGAGAACATAGGGACTTGGCTGCACCCAATTCTCCTTTTGTCCGTGCTTTTACATCCTTCTCCACTTCCTACAGTACGAAACACAAAATTTGACGAGGATAATTTTGATAAAATCAGAAATGTTCAACCAGCAAACATGCAACCTACTTTACATGGACCTCGCCAGGAGGTGCTTTTCTTTGGTTCAAGTCCATATAGAAAAGGGCGTCAAAAAAAGGTCTAGTCTTCATCTAAATTTTGAAATTTCAGAATAACAGTCCCAGTAAAATCCAGCAATTTGCCTTATATTCTTCACTATCTTTTGTACTTGCCCTTTCGCTAGTACTACTAGTTTTGGTGTTGCAGGTTGGGGTGGAATGATTCACGTATACCTTTGCAGGGCATGACAAATCAAATTAACCATGCCACATGAAGAGGAGAAATAGAGATCATACCTCCTCATCGCACCATGGAGCCAGAATCATTTTCTTTTGGTTCAGTGCTTCTGCAAATTCTTCCCATGCATTTACAGTGTGTATGCAGGCATCTCTTTTTTGTTTTGCAACTTCAAATAGATTTTTCTGGATGTCGTTGAGCAAGTCGTTCACTTGTTCCACCAAACTGGCCATGGGAATATCAATTTTGGCCGAATTATCACGTCTGACAACACGCACCTGATAGGAAAACAAAAGTTCAATAAGAAGCAATGTAAGGATCAAGCATGACAGAAATCATGAATAAAAATACCGAATGGGTACAACATTTAATTTTTCTTCTCTTAGTATAAATTAATTTATGTATTGGTAGATCTTAATTCATAAAATTAAGCAGCAAAATCTATACAGAGCTAGCACACCTATAATTGCAAAACTTAGGACTCTGATACCTGATTATTAGCCAAGTCCTTGGGGCCAATTTCAATCCTAAGAGGAACGCCTTTCATTTCCCAATGTGAATACTTCCAGCCAGGTGAATAGTTATCTCGAGAATCCACCTCGGCACGGATGCCAGATTCATTCAAGGTCTTTACGGTGGCTGCACATGCATCAAAGATTCCTTGAGTGTTGGCATCCTTATAGGGTACGGGTATTACGATTACTTGGACAGAAGCTATCTTAGGAGGCAGCACCAAGCCTTTATCATCCCCATGAACCATAATCATTACCCCTATCTGCCAGAAGTTGAAAGAACAAGAAGGAAAAACAAACATCAATAAGTACTATGACAGAAAGAAATTGCGCTGATAAAACCAGACTGGAAATTTAGGTCCTGTTTAGTGTTTAAAAATTAATACTAATATTTTCCATGAAAAAGTTGGAAGAAAGGAATGTGAGAAGGGAGGCAAATCTCAATTTAAGTCGCATCCTTTCCAAAGCATTTGCCAAAAAACCTTCAAACAGGAAAACAAACACTAATTTTAAGAATAAGATGATAGGCATGGTAAGAACTTAGAATATTCTGTCTGCTTAATCTTTGTCCTTATACTTAAAAAGCATGTCATAATTGTTCAGAATTTCCTTGGAACAACGTAAAAGAGAACTTTAAAAAAGTATGACAAAGGGAAAATATCCTGCTTACTGTTCTTGTAGTATAAGCCCAAGAATTCTGCCAGACCATAGCCTTTTCTCCTTTATCATTTTCAAAATTTATCTCAAACATTTTTGCAAAATTTTGACCCAAACAGTGTGAAGTTGCACCTTGTATAGCACGCCCAGTGTTCGGAATAAAAGCCTGGCAATCAATGCATTAAATCATGTCAAAATTTGGTAACAAAATTTCATTTACAAGGAGAGATGACTCAGAGAAAAATTACCATTGAATAAGATCGTGTTATTGTTAAATACCTCAACAGTGGTGGTGTAAAGTCCACCAGCAAACTTCTCATGCTCACTTTTCTTGCCCTTAATAACGGGAACAGCCAAGAATTCTTCATAAATACGTCTATATAATTCCAGAATCTCAAGGACCTGAAACAAAGACAATAAGAAAGCTGCTCAATTAAAACTATGAACCACCAAACTTCAGTGTTAAATCCCAACCACGCTATCAAAACTGAAATATTACTCAAAAAATTATATAGAAAATCATCAAATAATTTTTTCCACCAATTAGCCACAATAATGCAAGTAGAGAGACCACATTTCAGCTCTTCAAATTCAAAAAAACAAAATGCTCCCGAGGCAGTATCATAGGAATCCTCAAGCCATTTCTTGGACTTCTATTAAGGCTCAAGCACCCATGTCAGTCACTCCATTCTTGAAATAAGGATATTGTAGAGATCTTTGATGAATATGACACTTGGGCATAGGCCTGAATCTGAATCTGAATCTGATATTCATACCCAACTCCATCAACATTGAGTTCATTCCTACCCCGGGTCACACTATTTCTATCCATTAAATAACACAATGCCACATGTGTCAACAGATTATTCTTTTTCACAGCAAGAAAATAGTTTAAGGTTGCAACAGGATAGGAATGGGTAATAGTAATCACCATAAACTCACTTGAAGACAGCAATAGTACTGTATTATTTATTAGCACAATGTTTTACAGGATACTTCAAGGACATTCCTTGCTCTGGCACCAATAACTCCCGCAGTTCACAAGTTTCAAATGTCAACACCGAACATTATCGTATATGCACATATTTGTAGTGTCAAAGCTGACGCTAAACACAAAATAACTATGAACTAGAAAGCAGTAAATGAATATGAACTAACATAAAAATTATAAAGCAATAGCAGCCTGATACCCAACACAAAAGTGAGAAAAGGTACCTAAGCTTGCAGAAAAAGAGAGGCTAAAAATCTTGTACAGTCTTGTCATGACATTAAAATACAATGATCTTTAAATTGTTCGATCTAAGGACCCACTTTAGGAGTAAGATTTAGTCAAAAGTAAAATTTCAGAATCTTCATAACAAGGAAAAATCCAAGCACTGCAACCATAATATAGCCAGAAGTACCTCGGCATCTGCCTCCTCCTTTGTTGCAAACGCAGTATGCCCTTCCTGCCAAAGGAATTCTCTACTCCTGCAAAATCATAAAGATGGAATCACCAATTAATAGACAACAAAACCTAATTCTTGACTCCTTGTCGCAAGATAAGTGTTCACATTTTTAAGTAAACGAAAAAATGGATAATCAGGGGGATAACAGATCATTCTCTTATAGCAAATCTAATATAAATACTGGGTCAAATGAAATAGAAGCTGCATTCACACTCTAACAGCAGGACTATCCAACCTGTCCTGCCAAAAAAAGCACAAAAAACTAACTAAAAGGACAGGGTCCCTGAAAAGCACCTGATAAATGGAGTAGGATTGCTAAACTCCCATCGAACAACATTGCACCATTGGTTAAGTCTCAGAGGCAAATCACGGTGTCCCCTAATCCACTTGGAAAAATAAGGATACATAACAGTTTCACTAGTTGGTCGAATGGCAATGGGCACTTCCAGCTCGGATTCTCCTGATTTTGTAACCCATGCAACCTGTAAAAAGTTCGAGATCATAGTTATAACCGAGGAATCAATATTACGGAGATTGCATTCTGAACACAGAAGATTGCATTACTAATGGTGAAGATTATATTCCTAATGATAGAGTTTTCATTCCAAGTGGTTGAGATTGCATTCTTCATAGTGGGATTATTATAGGTGTTAATTCAGAAACCAGATATCATTATATTTTTCAGTATTTTAATTCAGAAACCAGATATCATTATATTTTTCAGTATATATTAAATCTTGAGTTAATGAATAGAAGAAAGTGATGAAAAATGATTCATGTATAGTAAGGGATGTGGAAGGTGTCATAAAACTTGATATTGCCATTTATCATCGTGCTGCCTGTTTGTCATCGACCCAGAAAGGAAACTAGGCTAAACCAAGAATTGCGGTTATCATGAGAAAATCTTTGCTGTTCAATAAAATAACCAGTATAATTCCAAAAGATACTTAACCCCAATTTGGTAGAAATTAAAATCCAAATTTTAATCCAAGTCAACAACTAATTTTAACCACGAATTTTATAGGAGGACCCACAACTTTCCAACCATATATTTCATCAATTTTTATCAAAATCTACTAAAAATATGATTTCAATCCACAACAAACAGGTGCTTAATCTTTGCACCTGACTGCGGATAGATATGGTATAACACAGTAGAGCCAAAGCAGTCTCACCTCAGGAGCAAACCCCTCTATATGATCCTTCTCCTTTTGCAGAACACCAGGGGATACAAAAAGGGGGAAGTAGCAGTTTTTTATTTTCATTTTCTTAATTTCAGCATCAAAGAAGGTCTGCATTTTACATAGGAAACAGATTCAACAGACATATATAGATTCAAAAAATGAGATAAAAAGTCAAAAGGAGGCGAATGGTTATCAAACAGAAATTAAAATAATTATCGAGCAAGGACAATTTATAGGATTAAAAACTACAACATTCTATGCACGACAGTGGTCCAGGTTTTTATTTTTTATTTTTTTTCCTAATGATGTTGCA